TAATCCCCATAATTTTTCAAGTGCTCTCTAACGGCGGTCATCGTAACTCTTTGAGGCCTATCAAGGTTTGTGTGTAAAATAGAGAGCTGCGGGTCCAGATTTCTGTGCATCTGAATCATGACTCGCGAAAAACTAAAATTTTAGACCCTAACTCACACCTGCGATGGTCCAGACCCATGATTTTTTTCCTGCAACATCTCGCATCCTTTATCTATATGAGCAAGTGAAGAATCAAGATCTTAGCTATTTATTGGCTACACTGAGAAAAAACAGTCGGTATACAGTTCTTTTTTTGTTGTTTACTTAGCCATCGCTCGATACTTAATGAATAAAGTTTCCATTCAAAATAACCTTTTCTTTTTAATTATAGAATTAAAAACGAATCATAAAATCTTGAAAAACAAGACAAAAAATATTATACATTTACTTCAGCTCTACTATATTTCGATTCGAAGCTGAAAGCAAACTGGATCTAAAGATAAATCTAGATATGGTCACGAGCTCGTTCGGGTTCAGGTCTGAGCCTGGAAGGACTGCAGCTCCCTACTCTAAAGTGATAATGAAAACGTTGCACAAATTTTCAACAGTTATTCAATATCATAGCTGGATTTTCTGAAAGAAAGAAATAACAGAGCATAGTGATGACTGAATTTGTATTTTGTAACGATACTAAAGTCATTGTCAGTATAGTTTGCTGAGTAGTAATCATATGTCTCACTCAATTTATTCAGCCATCAAACGCATAGAACTTATTTCCTATACTTAGTGGAATTATAAATAGAAAAATTCTGATCTCATTAATATTTTGTGATCGAAGTATGAACTTTATGATAATTTTAATATCGTGTCTTTATATTAAACAGATAACATATAATTGTACAGTTGCAGCTAATAATGTATAGTAAGTTAAGCAAATCAATATAAAACGCACTACGTATGGCACCCGCTGAAATAATCTCAATGGGTCTAACTTTGAGTAACAACTAGTCCACACAGAAAACTTTCTCTATCGAACTGCACTTTTAGTTTTTTCAAAAAAATCTTTATGCTAAGATATAATCGAGATACTATGCTCAGTCCAAACATAGATCGTCTAAAATAGGTTTTCCTGCAAAATTGAAACGGGCAAAGCTTGTAATTTATACTAATCGATAGAGAAAATCCTTTTCCCTATCGAACTGTTTTTTCGCTTTTTCCGAAACAATATTTATAAGAGCAATAATTAACACAAGCTGACTAATCAAAACATATTAACACTCATGATGACACTGTTATGATTGTCCACTACTGAACGTCAGTTTTCTTGGAAGAGAAGATGAGACGAAAACCTAACTTCATGAGAAGATATATCTCTTATCAAGTTATGTTCACTGTTAAGGAGAACATAGGAATAAGTGGTACGATATGTAGCGCCACCTAGTGCATTATTATGCTCGCCATTTTATATTGATTTGATGACTGATCCCAATTTGGCCGTATATTATTTGTCACATAGGACTAATATTAATAATATTAATGCTCATACACACACACACACACACACACATATATATATGTATATACATATATCCATCATTTGTTCTCAATAACGATATGTGACCGTTCAACCAATAAAAATAATAATAAAATGGAAAAAATGAAAGAGGACAGCATGAAACAAACATGGCTGAACAGGACAAAAGTAGACAAAAAATAAGTCTATTTTCAGTTATTGTACTATATCGTTATTTGAATGTAAACTACGTCGATACTTTGTTATATTATTATGCAAATAGTATACAGCTGATATATTATTAGTATCTTAAACGATATAGATCACTTCAGTTGTTGACTCCTTGTTTGAGAGTGAACTGAAGGTTTGAAAATATGAATGTTATCATGATAATATTTTCTTATTTATTGCGAAAAAGTTATTGTCATTACACTATAAGTTATTGCAATTATTTACAGCGTGGTAAAATTAGCTGGTCGTTTTAACGATGAATTCAAATGTCTAGGTAGCCGTTTGAGATCAACCTATGGCATAATTTAATAAGTGTTACTAAAAATATTACAATGCCTATTTATCTTCTGTGGTCAAACATAGAAAAGCACTTATCAATTTAAATAGATCTTCTATTATTCCATTCAAAATATTGTTAAGATGATCCTCACAGCAGATAACTGATACATAAATGAAAGAAAATAAAAATTGAACTTCTTTCAAATCATCATAGGAGTGTGTATTACTTCTATTTTGATTTAATATTAAATTTGTTAAAGTATAAGTTGCTCATGCTATATAGAACTGAGTTGATTGCCAAATGAAGTTTGTATAGATAAACAAACTTTAACAAAATTCAATCTAATTTTTAATATTTTATGGTGAACTGTGAGATTAATTTAAGTTATAGGCGCAATAAAAATCAAATCTAAAAATGTTCCCGGAATGGATCTTTGAAATCGAAACAGCATTTGGCAAAGAAAGCTTTTAAAAAATTTGGATTTCTTTCTCTGCTTGATAAATAACTGAATGTATATAATGGAGATACATGGACATTAAATATGAAAATAAAATCTTTGAATTTTGAAATATACTATTAAATCAATTTGAATTAATTGTAATACTTTGTTTATCTGATCGAATCACGCAAGTTATGTTAACTCTTCACCCCCACCACTAATCCAGCAGAACTGATCTTGATTTGACTATAGGAATAGATCATATGAGTGCTCAGTATGATCTTTCTATGGGTTAGATTAGAACGAAGTCATTTCACTGTGTAAATATAAAATGGGTCAAAAATGACCCATTGGTGTTGAGTGATATAAAAATTTGACTGTTCATTATTTGGCTTCTCTGCTTTATTTTCTTCACTGTAAGTTTATTTATCTATATCAAACTATAAATAATTTACTATTAAGCGTCGTTTACAAATAAAAAATATATTTTTCAAAATAGTACGTGACACTTGCATTTCATCTGAATCAACATCTACGTTAAAAAATAGCAAAAAAATTCATGTTAGTATGTCAGATATATATGTTAATGTTTATAATGACAGTCTTTAAAATAATTACGTATTGTACTAAGTCATAAACAGACAAGTCACCTGCATTACTTTCACTCGAATCATAATAGGTATTCAGATTATATAAAATATTTCAATTCGATTGACTTGTCGAATCAGTATTTTGAGACATTATTTAAAAAAGGTAAGCTAATACAATTGAATAAGATGAAAACAATCGCAAGTTAGAGAAGTGACAGAAAAATGAAATAGTGATATATAGATGTTAAATAAATATGAACGAGACGAATGAATAAGTATTCTTAATTGAAGAGAAAAACTATATTTATACAGGAAATCAAATGAGAAAAAGGGGCAAAGAAAGATGTCAAGAATGGTCTTTTTCTTTGTTTTGTTGCATACCAAGAATTATCTAAGGTGCAAAAGAACACTGAAAAGAGAAACTAATTTTCCTTTCTTATTCAATCTTGCAATGGCACAATATTGCTGGCATTTTCAATTAAAACATAGGAATAATTCAAAAAGATAAATGCCCAAGAAACAACAAAAAGGAGAATAAGAGACAAACGAGTTAATAGGAGATAGAAAGAGAATTAAAACATACCAAGACGAAACATTAACATAAGGACAATTATGAATATCATTACCTGGGTATACTTACTGAAAAAGGGCTCTCGTTCAATTACATGTAACACTGTAAGTGTTATTAAGGTATATCAGCATGGTGAAAAAGACGATCGATATGCACGCACTGTGTTATATGTCATACGAGAATGCTAGGATACTGTTAAAACTATGGTACGAGAGAGAGATAGACACGGTGTTGGCAGTGTATCGACAAAAGAAAGTCATAGCAAAAACTAAAGATCCCTATATTTTTCAGGTATATGGTTGTTGAAAAACTATCACGACTTGCTTTTTGATTAATTACAGTGAGTCCAAAAATTATTGACCCACTTTTAGACTAACACTTTTGTTTCTATGGTTGCACTATGCGCGAATTAAATGAGCTTCAGAACTCAAATACACAGCATGATGTAGCCTATGGTCTCTAGTTTATATGTTGCTATTTTCCACTATTTATTTCCTTTATGTAGTATTTTGCCAAAAATGTAATAAAAGTCTCTTACTGCAAAAGCGGGCCAATTGTTTTTCGACTAACTTTATTAGTTATAATAAATGCTTTTAGTATAAAAATATTGTGAATAATGAGTTTATATCAAAAACAAATCATCTGCAAAAGAATATATTTTTTCATGTCATTCAACACCAATGGGTCATTTTTAACCCAAGTTGTTTCAAAGAATGGTGCTTCAACGCATCGATTTAGTAATTTAATAAATAGTTTGGACTAAATAGGTGATACCTTGAGTAACGTACATCAACCGTTGAAAATCATAAACGATCAATATGTACTAAAAAAAAGCAAACAGTGAAAAGAACTTGGAGTTTTACAATTTTTTGAAAAATAATGATTTTCCAATGCAAATATTCTAGCCAATAGATGATGAAAAAAGTTTGCTTTTTTAGGACTTCATAGCATATTGAGCGTTGTACATTATCTTAAGGGTATCATCTTGATTCGATGTTTTATTGCTCCAAACAGATAAGTTTTCCAAATCGGTCAAAAATAACCCACTGTGGGGTAAAGCGTTAAAGAAAAGAGACAAACATACTGTTTAAGCTGAAATGATCAATGTAAATAAAACAAGCATATTTTAACTAACATGACAACAAAGTTCAAGCTTATAAATGATGATTTCATTTAAGTATTTCTATTAATGAAAATTCTGATATTTTAAAGAATAAAATTTTGATTATTGGGACGAAGACAAGCACCATTAACAATTTTTTTTTAGGAAATTTTTATGCATTTAAGAAGCCGATATTAACTAAATTTTTGAAAAGTTTGAAAAAGCTCGCATGCATTTCTATTAATTTATTTATACTCCTTTTGCATTATTTATCAATTTTCAGTCTATCAAAAGTATGAATCGGAACGATTGCAATCTTCGTAGTCACCTGGGTCGTATTCATAATATGGTTGAAGTAATGTATACCTCACAACGTCAACAACGTGCTACAAGATCCAATCAAATTAAACCTGAAAAAAAGCGAGAATTTCATGAAGCTGCTATTGAATGCATTATCAGAGATGGACGTCCATTTGGTGACTTTCACCGTCCGGGAATGTCGAAATTTCTCAATGTTATTTGTCCTGGCTAGTAAGTTACTTCATTCGGATAAAATGTACTACTTTTACCAATCTTCTATTTCTATGAAATTTGATGTAACATATACTATGAAACGTATTAAAAAATTTTAACATTAGTATTTTATGGAATATACTTATGCCGATTGTGTTTAAGTGCTAAATGATGATCACATTTAAATATATATCTTTTCATTATCTATTAGACTCTGATACATAGTTAGTTAAGAATAAAAGAATACTGATCGATTTATGGACAGAAAAAATACTAAGTTTTATAATCCATATGAAGTTCAGAAATAGATTCTAATTATTTAAGGTTTTGATATTTCGCTGAAAAAGATGTTATTATTAAAACAAAAGTCTGGTTTCGATGTTTGTCGTCAATAATAATTAATCGAAAACAACGTTGATAAAAATAGTTTATTTTGTGTTCTAATTCTAGTCTTTTACTAAAGTTTACTTGATTTTGAAGCATCACATTCTACAGAAGAAAAAATGAAGCTATAGTAACTTTGAAGAAACAAAGATTTCTTTCTTTCTTCTGAATAAATGAATCTACGCTACGAGTAAGTCAATAACACTTTCTCAGTTCGTTTGATGCTGTTATGAGCATAGAATTTATCAGCAAACTATTAAAATTAGAAGGTTTAATTCAATCTATAAGAACAGAAATAAATCTCGACTGTGCTTTTCCATGAAGCAGGCTTATTTTGGTGCCAAAAAATTGTTTTTTAAAATTTTTGATAAAATTTACCCACTATTACTCAACGAATGTCTATCAAAACAGTCAGAAGACGTTTCCTTTTAGAGCATCTTCTACTATAAAAAGCTGATCTGATTTCCCGGTAATCTCAGTCCATTCCATACGTAAAGTTTATTGAAGAGCCGTGGTCTTGATAATACATAAGTATTTGCAGTCATACCTGCCATTGTTTTCATTCTCGTTACAATGGCTATACAAATCGAACATCACTAATCAACAATTATAAATTATCATCTTTCTTGAAATTGAGGACAAAAAATTGATTTAATCGATTTTAGAAGAGAAATAAGCTGAAATATGTCAAACAAAATCTAATTGAAGATATTCTGTTATGTACAATTGAAAATAAATATATAGTGCAACGATCATCCAAGAACGGATAGCGACAAGCGAAGACAATAGAAAAAAAATTATTTAAAAAATTTTTAGCGAATGCTTAGACACGAAAAGTATTTTTTTAATACAGTTTATGCTGGTAAATTTGAATTGGAAACATTAAGCTACTGGAACGTTAATCTTTATACTCAGACTCATTTTCAAAATGAAAATTAGAATATAGTTCTTTATGAATAGTAAAGAGAAAGACATATAACAGAGTACATTCTCAGTGATTACTTCTCATTCTAAATTTGCCAAATAAATTGAAGCCGCATCTAGTAATAAGAAAATAGACAAATTTGCTGATCGGAATCTCAATGTAATATTTTTTTTACACGCTCTGGTTTGTTGTCAATTATGAGATGCGGTAGATGTTTCTAGAAAAGAGATGCTTTTCAAATTACCAAGACATCGGTTACATATACCAAAAATATTACACAAATGATGCTAGGTAAATGTTATTTCTGTGCTGCATAAGATTTTTCACCACAATCAAGTTTGTCTTGATACTAAATGTGTAATTTGAATTGAGATATAACTCTATCAGCATCCCAAACAAAAATATGTTCATCTTAAAATACTACTAGCAGTAATCTACTGTAAGTCTAATTAACTCAACAATGTATTTCAGCGTTTGCTTATATTTTATAGTTTCTGAAGTCATATCAAATATTGAGCTATATCTTGCGTGTTATTTCAAGGGACAATATTTTCTCAATATGCCAAATTAAGGTGAAAACGAACATATTGAACAATAATAATAATTATTGTCTATATATTTATGCAATATTTGAGAATATTTGGCATTTCTGAACTTAATAATAACCAAGAAGCTTCAGAAAACGGAATTCTTTCTTTATCGGATAATGTTTTCAATGACAAACTGAATGTTCTGTTTGCTTTCTCAAACTTAAAAATATGAGTGTAACAAGTTTTGTGTAGGGGTCTTAAATAAAATATTTTTAATTGGTCTTTTATCTGGCTTGTTATTTACCAAATCGCACCTACTTTTCGTTTAAAAAATTCTAATCACAATCTAAAAAACTAGGAGTTGGTATTGTTTGTTATATTTTTATCAATATTAACACAAAAATATTATTTCACTCAAAATAAAAATGTAAAGATCTGACAACAAGATAGTTGTACCTCACTTATTTCAACGATTATATGTAGTTTCGAACATGCTTAAAAACACGAGATTTATCTTATATAGTTGTTGCTATTTCGGTGCTCATAGAACGCAGCATCGGAACCTGAATAAATATTAGAAAATTCACCATTAATGACTTGGGAGAATCTATTGAAAGATCTGTGCACCTATTTTTTGTATGACAGCTAAGATTTATTTAAGTATTCATTTTTCATAAGTGTATTAAAATAAATTCTTCAAATGCCAGTGTTAGACTATATTATTGATAAAAATTAGTCAACGGAT